TTAAGCAAAACCAGGACTCAAAGCACCCTTTCTTCTTCTTTAAGGATCCGTACAATGCAATAATCTTTCGCAATAAAGAACTACAGTAAGACTTAGCAACGATGGCTGGCATACTTTCTCGCCTACCTTCCAGAGATAAAAGCGTGCTATCATCAGCCAACTGAGGACAAGGGTTTCCAAGAAACACAGACAGTAAAAGTCAGCAGCATCTCAGCTGGAAGCAGTGAGCAATTTTTCATTTTTTTACTTATTGCAAAGCCTCTAGTGTCTCTCCACCTCCCCCCCAAATTAATGAAGAATATTAATTCCTGAGTGCGTGTGCGTGCAAGTGTGTACACCCAGGCATTCACACGTGCACGCTAGGATGGTCTTCCAAAATACACATACCCAGTGAACGTGCCTGACAACGTATCAGGGCCTGTTTTTCTTTTTCTTTTCTTTTTTTTCAGGGCCTGTTTTGAGCCAGAAACCGCTACTTGTTTCCACCCTCTTGGAATGGTGCAGCTTTTTTTTGGCCCAAGTAGCGGATTTCTTTCTTTCTTTTTCTTTTTTTTTGAGACAGGGTCTCACTATGTTCAGACTGGCCTCAAACTCACAGCAGTCCTCCTGCCTCAGCCTCCCGAGTGCTGGGATTACAGATGTGCGCCACCACGCCCAGTGTAACAGGTTTCTTGATAAGCTACTACAGCTGTAAGATTTCTATTTCATGGCACAGTCTCAGCCACAAGCTATATAAACTTGTTAGTTTCTAAAACTCCAGGGGATGACAAAGGTTAAATAAGACACTGATAAGAAAAGAGAGGAAGTGCGACAGAAGTCCAAAGGCTGTAACCAATTTGGGATCCAATACAAGTAGCAGGTTTTGTTCCTCATCTCAGAGAATGAAGGGTGGATGAGAACAAAGTACGGAAACTCTCCAAAATGGGACATGAGATCTAAATTCTTGCTGAGGCTTTGTTTGGAATGGTTGGTTTTTGGAATGAAGGCCTGTCCTAAGCTTAACCTGGCTGAGACCGTCTTCCAACCCTCCTGTCTACTGCTTGTCCAGCTTGTATTGTGAATGGAAAGGCAGTCAAGTATTCCTTTCTCCTAACTTTATCCTGAAGACAAGGTAAAGACAAATGGCCAAGTGAATATTGTCCCGTCGTACTCATATAGCAACTGGGTAGATAGGCTCCCCTGTCAGTCCCAGGCAAAAGAGGGAGGTGGACCATCCAGGGGTCATCAGTTCTGCTCTGTACCATTCCTTCTTATCAAAACATTCTGAAATGACCAGAGCTGCTTGATCCAGGCACAGGTATTACACCCAATGCAAAGCTTTTTCTTTCTTTCTTTTCCTTTTTCTTTCTTTCTCTTTCTTTCTTTCTTCTTTCTTTCTTTCTTTCTTTTTCTTTCTTTCTTTCTTCTTTTTCTTTCTTTCCTTCTTTCTTTCTTTTTCTTTTTTCCTTCTTTCTTTCTTTTTCTTTTCTTTCCTTCTCTCCCTCTTTCTCTTTCTCTCTCTCTCTCTCTCTCTCTCTCTCTCTCTCTCTCTCTCTCTCTCACAACTCAGAGCCCTGTGCATGCTAAGCAAGCACTCTACCACTGAGCTACACCCCCAGCCTGCAAAGGTCTTTTGATTAGACTCCATGTTGGTTATAACAAATTTCAGATCCTGGGATCCTACATAGGGCCACCAAATCACTAGGTTGGGAATCAGGAGCCTGTGGAGCCCGGGTTTGCTCTTAACAAGGGCAAGGCCTGTGTAGTCCGGGTTTGCTCTTAACAACAGCAAGTCCTGTGCAGACTTCTGACACCAGCATAGGATCCCTCAGGTCCCAGTGAAAGGTGCAGGGGTAGGAGTCACAGGCAACTGCCCAGGTCAACTATGAATTTTTGGTGTTGGAGACCTACACAGAGCATTTTTACAAGCACACAAGGGTTCTAGCCCCAGTTACCTGGACCCCTTGGGGCTAGAACTCTGACTGCTACAACCTCCTCCTGCTCTGACCATCTGTGTTCCTGGGCACATTTCCCCCTTACAAGTCACTTCCACCAGCTGCGAGGCCACCAGGCTTCAATCACGGTGTGATACAACAGTCGCAGGGGTATTTGCCCAGGACTCGCTCCCACGTCACACGGAAAACACTGGCCACAAAGCTGCACGAAGTACTGGGATTATCCATCTCCCTTCATGAATACAGAAGTGACTTGGGAATCGTGGACAAGGTACTCCCAGGGTTTCCAAGGATGAATTAGATTGAGCTTTTAAATACTTTGTGTACCGGATATAACTTCCCAGACCCCTAGGACAACGATGCAGGAAAGAATGTGTGGCTAGAGTGTAGCTCAGCTGTGTAGCGCTTGCTTTGCATGGATGAGACCCTGGGTTCCTTCCCCATCACTAAAATAAAATAAAATAAAAGCCAAGCACTCATAGCCGAGCACTCATAGCAACCATAAAAGCCAAGCCAAGCCTTGTGTAGATGTCCCCCCAAAGTCTCATGCAGTCATTGGTGGGGCTTTTTCAGAGTGGCTGGATCTAGAATATGTGACCCTGGGATTGATTCATGGTGCAATGCTAAGATCAAGTGCACTAGGTGCGTGAGTGCTACCTGCCTAAGTAGCCTGGATAAGATATAAAGGATAGAAAGGGCTGTGGTCAATTCTGTCAGTTCTTGCTGCTTTGCTATCTTCTGCCTACCACGAACTGTTTCTCCTCTGCAATGCCTGTCTGCCATGGACCACCTGCCACTGAGCCAGCCGATTATGGACTGAAATCGCTACAAACTGTGAGTTAAATAAACCTTCCCCTCCTTTAACTTTGGGTGTTCGGTATTTTGTCTCAGCAATGAGAACAGGAAGTAATACATTCCTGTAATCCTAGCTACTCGGAAGGCTGAGGCAGAAGGATTACATGTTCAAGGCCAGGCTGGAGCAACTCGCAATCCTGCTTCAAAATGAAAAGCAGAGGGGGTCAGAGCACTGTAGCTCAGTCATAGCGTATTTGCCTACCATGTTGGAGGTCTTGGGTTCCATTCACAGCAATGGAAAAGAAAAAGCCAACTAGTGTTTAAGTCCTTATTAAATTAAGCCCTTATTATGGCTGATGTATGTGATTAGGATGATTAGATGGTTCCTAATGAAGCCAAGGGCATAGGCCAACTGATTTTTGTTTTTTTTTACTCCAACTGACTTTAATGCTTTTATTTTTCATGGATAATCATCTCGAAAATGTGAAGCAGGGCATGGTGGCGCATGTCTATAATCTCAGCTCTCTGGGAGGTTAAGGGAGAAGGGTCACATGTTTGAGGCCAGCCTGGGCAACTTAGCAAAACCCTATCTGAAAATAACACAAAGAAACAGGCTGGGGTTGTAGTTCAGTGTTCCTTGGGTTCGATCCCCAGTTCTTAAAAAGAAAAAAGTGGGCCAAAAGAATCTGAGTAACAATGTTAGTTGCTGGAAAATAATATTTGTGGGTCTGAGGTTCTTTGTTGTCTGGTCAGAAGGTCCTTTAGGTTCTACAGGTGTAAGCGTTCTGTATAGCTGCGTACACCCTCAGGCAAACCCTCTGTTGGACAGTTTTGCAATATCATTTGCTCATTATAACCCAAATTGATTAACTGCACTATTCACCCAGAAACAATTTTTTTTTCCTGTACCAGGAATAGAACTCACGACGTTGCACTTGCCAGGCAGGTGCTGTGCCACTGAGCTAAATCCCCGGCCCCCGTTTTTCTAGAAGAAAATGAGTGCTTTATGTAGTTTGTGGCTCACTTGCAGGCTGGCCACTCCAGTGCAGTCTGGCTCTGTGCCATCTCAGTAACTCCTCCCCACCCTCGTCTTTGCTTTACTAAGGAGCAGTGAACACACTTGTGTTAGCTCAGGAGGCTGCAAATGCAATAAAAAAAGGCAGGTACACATAAAGCTTATGCTTAAATCAAGAAATCCTTTTGTTCATAATATTATTAAATAGCTACCACTGAATGAATGTTAATCTTTGTGCTATCCCTTGGGGAGAATGCTTAAATGCAGTACTTTATTTAATTCTCATGCTTTGCTGTCTCTCTAGGCACCATACTAGTATCTAAAGTCTCAATTTCCTTACCCCGTCGTACACCATTTAGCAGGGTTCTGAAAATCAGATCAAAACTCATGAGGAGAAGCTGGGCATACTGGCACATGCCTATAATCCCAGAACTCAGGGAGGCTGAGGCAGGAGGATGGTTAAGTTCAAGTCCCACCTGGGCAGTTTAGCAAGGCCCTGTCTCAAAATAAAAAAAACAGAAAAGGCTGGGGATATAGCTCAGTGGTACAGTGCTTGCCTAGAATGCATGATTCCCAGCACCAGAAGAAAAAATAAATAAAAGAGAAAAAGAAAGCAAGTCATACAACCTGACTTGCACAGGACAAGAAAAGCAATATGCAGAGATAGATGGTGTTATGTACGGCTTGGGTTTAGATGTCCCCCCAAAACCTCATGCAGTCATGGGGGGGGGGCTTTTTTCAGAGGTGGCTGGATCTAGAGTGTGTGACTGATTCACAGTGCAATGCTAGGACTAATGGTGCGTGATTACTAAATTGGTCCACTGGTTAGTTTGGCACTGCCCTAGTCCCCAGTAGCCTAGATAGAGGACAAAAGAGGCGGAGAGACTGTTAAGGTCCCTTTTTGCTTTGCTACCTTCTGCCCACCATGAACTGTTTGTCTTCTGCAATGCCACCCTGCCTTGGAGCCAGCAGATTATGAAACCTCTACACACTGTGAGCTAAATAAACCTTTCCTCCCTTAATTTGTGAGTGTTTGGTATTTTGTCACAGTAACAAGCAACCAGACAGATGGGGGGACCCATTTGTCTTAATCTTTTAAGAAAAGGCCTGTCCTGGGCCAGGGTGCAGCTCAGTGGTACAGCATTTGCTTAGCATGCACAAGGCCCTAGGTTCCATTGCCAACACCAAAAATTAAATAAAATATCAAAGGAGACTCATTAAAGATAATCATGCATCCAAATAAGGAGAAGGAGAGAAACCTGGGCGAAGGATTTTTAATATAGAGGGCAACTGTACATCTGGACAGAGAGGACGAGAGCATGCCAGGCTCTCTGACCTGGCGACACTTGCTATCGTCCGTGAGGCCTCCCTTGACAGATAAAGCAGCAGCAGCAGCAGCAGCAGCAGCAGTTTCCTCTCCCTGTGTGAGAGGATAGTGCGACGGTCACTCAGTCTATGTTGCACGCAAGTTCCTGCAGCCCAGGCACGAACACCCAGCTCACACCTCCCCTGTCACAGCAGGTCCAATGATCCCCTTTCCTCTTGGTGCAGGAGCTATGAACTGTTCTTACTGACAAGACAGGCCGGGGAGTCACCAGGCTGGGGGGACATCAGACCTCTCCCCTCCTTGTGCTGGGAAGGAGCTGTTCCTGCCAGTGTGGGTTCCGCGAATGTGCACCCGGGCCACAGAGCAGGAGAGCACGGGGCTCCTCCTGAACCAAGCCGTGCTCTGGGCTCGCCCCCGAAGCCATCAGGGTTAGGCTGAGGTCCTCTGCCTTGCACGGGGTCTCTCGGCCTCGTGGATGGGGTCACAGGCAGCCATCAACCCAGCAAAGTCTCCCAACCTCCAGGCAAAATCGTCTCCTCTATCCAACCAGGCGAGCTGGATAGACAGGAGGTCCTTCCATATCCTCCTCCTCCTGAGAGTCCCCTCCAGAGGGAGGGAAATAAAACCCTTCTCCCTCCCACGGAAGCAGAGGACCACCAAAGCCCAGTCCCGAAAGATGGCCAAGTTCTCTTAAATAAGCTTTCCTTTCCATTTTCTTCTCTTGATTATTTATCACCCACCCATTTATTTATACAAATATAAAATATATTTATATAGATTTATATAATATAGACTCTCATGAGGCCGAGTGAAGGAGAGGGTCAGGAGCGGAGCCTCCACGGCTATTTACAGATGTACTGGTCGACGATCTCGGTGCACTTTTTGCACTTGACAAAGCAGCACCAGTGGAACCGGCAGTGGCAGCGCTCCACCTGGACGCTCTTGAACTGGTCATAGCCGCGGCCACAGCACATGAGCTCACAGCCATCCATGCCCTCCGAGGTCTTGTTGCAGAGGCGGCCCTGGGTGCCCAGGGAACCCGTGGTCTCATTGCGCAGGCAGTAGTCCGGGCTGGGGTCCACGTAGACCAGGTCCTCTGGGGTGGGCGGGCTGAAGCGGCTGTTGACCAGCTCCAGCTTGCCCTTGCGGGTGATGCGCACGGCAGCCGCGCTGTCGTACTTCTCCTTCAGCTGGTCTCCCACTTTGCGGAACTCGGCCAGCTGGAGCCAGCAGGTCTTGAGGCTGCAGGACCCTGAGACGCCATGGCATTTGCAGGCCACATCTGCCATCTTATACACAGCCTGAGGGGAGAAGGAAGAAGGGAGTCAGAAGGAGACTTCTGATGGATGAGATCAAGAGAGCGGCCATCGTGTCCTTACAAGGACGGGCGAGGGCTACTTTCACTGTCTGCTTTATCCATTTCATAGTGCATGACATATATTACAATGAATGCCATTTTTATAGCCTAGAAAAAATGCTCCTTTTTTTTTTCTTGTGTGGTTCCAGGGATCAAACCCAGGGCCTTGTGCATGCTAGGAAGTGCCCTGTCCCCGAGCCACATCCCCAGTCCCCCAGTTTACTTCCATCCTCTTCCCTTCCTTCCTCTCTCCTTCTCTCCCTCCCTACCTCCCTCTCTTCCCTTCTCCCAGTGGCTCTTGCCATTTACCCAGGATGGCCCCAAACTCCTGGAATCAAGTGATCCTCCCACCTCAGCCTCCTGAGTATTAGGACTACAGCTAAGCATCACCACACCCAGATCAAAATTTTCACCATGATCAAAGTCTCAAACAAGTAAACACAGTCCAAGAAAATGTGCCCTGTGTTTGCATAATATGAGGCACAAGTCAGAAAAGAAACAATTCAGTTGCTTCCAAAGTTATAACAAAAAAACATTGGAACAGTCCTGGTCAGCCAAAAGCTGCCCTAGATCCTACCAAATCCCCCGAGCATTGCACGTTCCTTTTCCTGCTCAGTCATTTGGTAACTAACTCCATAATCACCAGCAACCTCCAGAGAACCATCACCTTTGTAAGCAAGACCACCTTCTTCTGCACCAGCAGCCCCAGAAGCTGTGCAGAAGGGAGGGAAAAGGCACAACCCGGAGGAGTGCAGGTCAGGTCGGTGGGCCTGCTGTCAGGGGTGATTCACTTGAAAACGAATCTACTTGCAAGTCACTGAACCTCCACAATGTGGAGTGGTTTGAACTTCGGTTATCCCAAATGGAAATGTAAAAGCAGTAGTAGACCAGAAAGCTGCTTCCAAAGTGCTTTTCAAGGAAGGCACACTGATGTGCTGTGTTGAACCACCCTGGCAGCGGGCCCAGAAGTGCAGATGGCGGGATAAAAAATGCATGTCTGCCTCAGAACGCTTTCCTGTGCCACAGCTATTGTCACCAACTGAATCAGGATGCATTTTTCAAGGGCTTCTCTTCGATTTCTTTTCAAGAGTTCCCAGATTGTGTCTTTATTCAGTGTGAAGTAGAGGCCACTGCAGGTGCAAAAAACAGCTTAACCATCATCGGCTCATAGGAGTCTTGTCAAAAGTCTTGATTTTTTTTCCCCTGGCAGGGCATTGCTCCCACTAATTTATGGCTGAGAGACGGAAGCTCTATGGAGTCTCAGTGACCTGTTCGGGGCCACCTGGGAGGGAGCTAGGCTGTGGTCGCGTCTGCACTCCAATCTTGGGGCTTCAAGGCGGCTTGGAGCAGGAAAGGGAAGAGGTCTCAGCCTCAAAGTTAGAAGCCCTGGTACGAGGCCTGGCGGCTCCAGGCCCAGCACACAAAGGCACTGACACCCCCTCCCAACAGGCACTTCAAAGACAGAGCCAGCAATTATCCTTCTGGTCCAAAGGCCTCCGGTCTGAGCTGCAGCCTGACATACCTCTGGAAATGGTCCTTGGTTTAGAGCGGGGTGGCAGGCATCTGGCGCTGCAGAGAGGAGGAAGCATTAAGGGTCTAGAACTGTACCTTGTCACTGAGCAACTAGGGGAACAGAATAAGCATCTCTTTCTGGGAATAAATACTCAGCGAGGTTTGGGGAAAGAGCCAATCAAAGCCAGCCTTCATGGGGTAAGGACAGGAATTTCAGTAAAGCAAATCCCAGGGAACGAAAGTCACTGCTCTTTGCTATTTGGACACTCACCCATCCTTCTACCCTAAAGACATTGTGGAGACTGTCATATTTGTATTTCTCCATAGCTTACTATGGATCATATCCGTACAAGCTCCTTTTGTGGAAGGTAGAGGGGACAATTTCAATTTCTGACACTTATGCTGACTCAAAAAATAATAAAATCTGGAACTAGGGATGTAGCTCAGTGGTAGAGGGCTTGCCTAGCCTATGACAGGGCCTGAGCTCCCCATTCTCAGCACCGGAAAGCAAAACTTTAAAAAAATGTTTTAATCCTCCATCCTTCTCCTGGCAATGTCCAAGTGACAAGCTTGGTATCTGACAGGAATGCCACAGGGATTAGGCACGACGTTTTTTATCTGGAAAATGCTTAGAAACCCTTGAGAGACCAGGCACTATCACGCTGTGAGCTTTGCCCTCAGTGTCAAAGAGGGACCCACCAGAGGCACGGCAAAGGCCAAGAGGAACTTCTGATAAAGTGTGCCTAAGATTTATCCTGTGGCCACAGTGTCAGATCTCAGATAATCAATTTTTTTTTTTTAAACCTGGTTATAGACTATTTTCAAGACCCACCACCCTTCAGTGCTCCCCACAGAGGTTTCCGTGTAGGTGTGAGGGGGAGAGTGAACAGCATGGGCTCCAGATGGTGACTAATGGCTGAGGCCTGCTCCCTGGAGAGGGGATAAAAACTAGAGAGGGATAAGAATTCCCAACCTGGAGCAGACAGAGGCAGAGGGAGAGATAAAGGGCTTTGGGAAAGGTGTGCAGACCAGAGGAAGGGGGGCCAAAGCCTGGGAGGCAGACAGAGGAAGCCGGGGAAGGTGTGTGAGTGACAGGCAAGGCAGATAGCGGGGAAGGCTCTGCCAGATAAGGGCCTAGGACAAACACACGCGATTGCGGCAATAAAGTGAGAAGCGACAGAAGTCGGGTCAATGTCCCTGCTCTCTCCTCAGGGCCGGCAGCTCGCAGGAAACACAGCGTCCTCCAAGCTCGAGGGGCCCCATGGAAACTTCTCTCTGTGTGGTTATGTGTCCTTCCACAGAAAGCACACTGGGGAGCGGCCATCCCTGTCCTCCATAAGGGAAAAGCAGGGTGAGAAATGCCTCATGGAAAGTATGAAATGCTCCACTGAAGTTCAGATAAAAGAGGGACTACGGGGAACGGGAACGATGTCAAGGACTAGGAGCTATTTGAGGTGGGACCTTAAGGCAGAATCTTGCTGTATTGCTCAGGCTGGTCTCAAACTCCTAGACCAAAGCAATCCTCCTGCTTCAGCCTCCAGAGAAGCTGGGACTACAGGTACCCACCAGCATGCCCTGCAGCCAGGATCTTGAAAATGCATAGGTAGGCACTAAGGAGATAAAGAGAAGGTCTCAGTCCCTTTCCGATTCTCTTTCTGCTCCTTGAGCCGGACGGCTCCACAGAGTCCCCGGGATGAAGTCAGCTAGCTGTTTTCAGGCTGTCTGTTCTGGTTTATACCAAGGTAACTGCAGATCAGAGCCACGACTAGAACTCCCACCATCACCAAAGACTAACAGCTCCCGGCTCAACGCACAGCCAGCTCTGACCACACAAAAGTAGCTTTTGAATACAGGATGTGGAGTCCAGAGTCTTGAAACTGAGCCACATCTGCAGAGCCCCTCTTAAATCTTTTTTTTTTTTAATTTGGAGACAGGGTTCCGCTAAGTTGCCTAGGCCGGACTCAAACTTTTGATCCTCCTGCCTCAGCAAAGTACTGCATTACAGGCATGCACCACCATACCCAACTACAAGTGACCCATTCTAATTTCTCTTTGAGGGAGGTCACACTGTGCATGGTGCTACATGTACACAGGTGTACCAAGTCCTGTCAAGCCAATACCACAAGATCCTGATTCACAAGACATGTCCAAGTTCATTTATTTTTTTATGCTCCTGTAACACAGGTGCTGATGTTGTAAACTGCTGATACACAAAGATTTTTTTAAAAATATATATCTGTATCTACATCCTGTAACTGAACTGCCAGTGAACCAACATTACCCTTCTGATCTTCTCAAGACATGCCGTTCTCATTTTTAGTTCATCTTCGGTCCCACCACAGCGTGGGACCCAGAACTGGGTGTCATGACAGCCCTGAGTGGGGCCGACACTCCAAGGAAGAAGCTTGTGGTGTTGCCTGAGAGGCCCTTTGCCTGTGCTCAGATCCCAGAGCACCGTCCCCACTTCCTGTCAACCCAGGCTACAGTGAGTGAGAGGACAGCGTGTCCTGCGGGGCAGCCTCTGGTTTCCTGTGGCGGGGGCAAACACTTGCTCAGACAGGGTTCTCCTGAGCAAGCTGCAGGCAGGAAAAGGATCCACTTTCTGGCACGTCACAGAGGGGCATTGCAGTAAGTACACTCCCCATACACACAGAGCCGAGCTCCTCGCAACCTGTGTTTAACTCTTCCAAAACCATCTTAGAAGACGGTCACCTCTTCTGCGCAATTGGTGAGACACTGGTTGAGCTTTAAAAAGACAGCTGTTCGTTCACACTTCCACTTGTTTAAAGACTCCTAGCATAAAAGTGTGCTTGCTATTAGCACTCACATATGTTTTTTGACTGGGGTTCTGGTTATGTACAATAGCAGCTCGTAAAAGTCAGCTCTGGGTTTACCTGAGCCTTAACGAATCATAAATCCTGCATCAGGCCTAATGGTCTGAACTTCTTATCTGTTCTAGTCACACAGGAGGGTGGGGCAAGACGAGAACTCTACACTGCTTTGTGTGTCTGGAGGGACGGACGTCCTGCAAGTGCAGATTGAGACCGAGAGCTGGCCTGAGACCGCGCAGGCCTGCACCTTACCCTTCGACCCGCTTCATTGTTCTGCAGGTTCATGAGCACGCGGCCCTGCTCCTCCGACCCCTTGGCATAGTTCTTCTCCCGCTCCCGAGCATCCACAAACTCCTTGGCAAAGCGGTAGCCGTACTCCACATTGTCCCCACAGCCACCCCACAGCCAGTCCCGGGGTAGGTCCTTGGGCCGTGCTGTCCGGCTGCACCCACACGTGGAGAGCTCACCCTCGCGGCAAGCCCGGCTGATGGCATTGACCACACCTGCAGCGCTCACGGCATAGGTGAAAGCGGTCTCGCGGCTGCCTGCAAGAGAGGAGAGGTGTGGTGAGGAAGGTCGCCTTGCTCTGCTGCAACAGTCCCAGGGTGGGGAATCAGCGTCAAAAAGAGCCCTTGCCTCTGCACGGCTGACTGGTTAGGAATTTTCCTTCAAAACGGAAATTTTAAAGGAAGGCTACTCCTTCTCCCACCTTCCTCTCAGCCCTAGGTCTGCCCTACCAAGCCACACTGCGTCAGAGGGGTCTACACTCAGATGCAATGCAGCCCGCAGTCCCAGGAGGGAGACTTAATGGAGGGGCAGTGGGTAGCTATAAATTTATGGCCAGGCAGGACTAACAGAATGAAAACTGAGGAAAAAACCATGCGATCAATAGTAGGAATCTGCATCTAGCTGGAACCCCTCCCTCCCAAGTGCAGTTCCTCGCCACCCCACCAGCTATCTACCCATTTGTCTTTTTTATTGCTTTGCCATTACCCAGCCAGACTGGCAGAGGCTAGGGACAGAAAGCAAGCTAGAACTGCAATGTCCAGAATAATTCAAGCTGTCGCCCTCCCTCTGACACAGGATCACACTGCCTCCCAACTCAAAGAGCACCGGGAACCACAGCACCATACCTACTGCTTCAGACACTACTTCAGATACTGATCCCTCTTAATATCCAGATCTTTTTCCATATGAAATTCCAACTATGTTCCTTTTGGTTGTGCAGCAAACCACTTAAATGCGCGTAAGATGTTTTACTTCAATGAATATGTTTTATTAAAAATAAACAGCCTCCAGGGAAATGCAAGTCAAGATCAAAATGAAATACCACTTCACATTCAGTGGGATGGCCATAATCAAAAAGACAGCTAGTAACAAGGCAGGGAGGATATGGAACCCGCCTATATTATTGATGCGACCGTTAAATGGTGCCGTTACTTTGGAAAACCTCGAAAGATTAAACACAGAGTTACTAAATGCCTCAGCAATTCCACTTCACAGTACTATCTACCCAAGAGAAATGAAAACATATGTCCATACAAAAGCTTACACGTGAGTGCTCATTGCAGCATCATTCGTAATCGAAAAGTGAGCTGGGTATGGTGGTACAAAGTGTGATCTGCACTTGCTAGGCTGAGGCAGGAGGATAACTGTGAGTTTAAGGCCAGTCTGAACTACATAGCAAGACTCTCTCAAAAAACAAAAACAAGATAGGCAAAACGTAGAAACCACCTAATTGTCCATCAGCAGATGAATGGATAAACAAAATGTGGTATTACCCATACAGTGGAACATTATTTAGCCATAAAAGGAATAAAGGACTGACACATGCTACAACACACATGAACTTTTTAATCATTATGCTAAGTGAAATAAATAGTTGCCAAAGGCCACATATTATATTATCCTATTTATGTAATCTTTTGAGGTTAGGTGAGTTTTTTTTTATTGGAAATAAAAATAACTCCTGGGTTTCCAGGAAGGGCCCTGTTTTTTTGAGACAGGGTCTTGCTATGTAGTTCAGGCTGGCCTTGAACTCACTGTGTAGCCCAGCCTGGCCTCGAATTGGCAACGATCCTCCTGCCTCAGCCTCCTGAGTGCTGGGATTACAGGCACGCAACACCATGCCCGGCCTTGCATTTTTTTTTTAATGGAGTAGTGAAAATATTCTAGAATTAGCGGTGGTTACACATCTTGTGAATATACTAAAAACCACTGAATTGCATATTTTAAAACAGTGAATTATATGAGATATGGATTGTATCTTCCGAGAGCTGTTCTAAGAAACAGTAATACTCTTGCGGATTCTGACATGGAGGGAAGTGAGTGGTTCTTAGCAGGAAACAGATCCAGTCTGATCTCAGGCAGAAGCAGGGAGAACCTTCCGCTCTCTCTCCCTGTCCTCCTCTCCTGCAGTCCCTGTGCTCAGAAGCAGACATCCCACAGCCCTGCCTGGAAGGAGAAGCAGCAGCAGGGTGGACTCAGTGGAGAGGCCTGGAGTCATCTTCCGCTTTGCCCTACTCCTTCATCACCCCCACACCCTCAGTGACGTCCGCAGCCAGACCACACGGGGTGAGTCAGTTTTTCTCAATTAGCCAGAGGTCAGCTTCTGGTCAGCTGTAGAATAGGATGCCCTTAGAAAAACCCAAACAATGGCAGGAAGTTCCCCTCTCAATTTGGCCGTCAGAACTGACATCTGAGCCGGTGCTGAACAAAGCCAGAGTCCGGGGGTCTGTGTCTGTCTGGTCTGGGGGTGGGCTGGGCCGTGCCAGCGAGCGCCCAGGACGGCGAGTCAGTCGAAGAGGGCAGGGGAGGGTTGGGGACTTACTTTGAGGACTTTCGTTCCTGGGAAGTTTTTTGTTTTGTTTTGTTTTTTTCTGAGAAGTTTTCTTGAAAGGTACCCTCAACCCCCTGGCATGGCGTTCTGTAACAGGAAGGAGCCTTTGAGGCTGGAGCCCAGAGCTCCATTCTGTCCACAGGGAGCATTCCTTTTATAGTACACCTGCTTTCAAAGCAACACATTCCCTTCTCCCCATTCAGTACTGAGGATTGAGCTCAGGGCCTTAACCAGGCACGGTGGCACACTCCTGTAACCCCAGCACTCTGGGAGCCTGAGGCAGGAGGATCAGAAGTTTGAGCCCAATCTTGGCAATTTAGTGACTCAGGAGACCTCGTCTCAAAAACAAAAACAAAACAAACAAACAAACAAACAAACAAAAACACCAAGGGCTGGGGATACAGCTTAGTGCAAAGGACCTGGTTCAAGCCCCAGTAGAGGAAAAACTTTGACATGTCTTACTAAACTGCTCAGGCTGGACTTGCAAGTGCAATCTTACTGCCTTACCACTCCATCTTTTTAAAATGACTCTAATCATCAGAATGTTTTTTCTTATAATAAACCAAACCATGCCTGTCGACAACTTCTGCCTGCTGGAGCAACATTACCAAATCCCTTTTCCATTTGACAGCCTGCAGTGTTTGAAAACAAGTAAGAAGCCTTTTATGTGTTCCCTTTCCCAGCTACATATGTCTGACTTCCACCATTCTTTAGCAAACATGCTGTTCAGAGCTGAATCAGCCCTCTCGGAATTGTACCTGCAGCTGAACACAACACACCAGACACTATGCACCCTGACAGTTCTAGCCCCTCGTGATAGTTTGGGATCTAAATATGTCCTCAGATGCCTCAGCTGTCACTCACATTTCACTCTCTGCCTCGGCCCATCAGTAAGGCGTATTGCAAGATACCATGTGTAGGCAGCGCTGCTTCCACAGGGCAGCATCTGGTCAACCTGATAAGCAGAGACCGCAAGAGTGGCCCTCAAAGAAAGAGCTTACCTGGGGCTTCAGAATGGATAAGCAATGTAGGGGGTTTATCTACAAGTGAACAATTCAGTGCTGAAACTCAAACTATCTCAGAGATAAAAGGTGAATAAGCCCGCAGCCACGGAGCTACTGCACAAACACTGCATGGTCCCCTTCCAAGGAGATGGCAGAAAAATATCACAACCTCGCACTTCCACAACCGCCCAAGACGCCTCCCAGCTCCCAAGGCAGAGGCCAAGTGAGGCCCCCACCAAGCCTCCGCTGAGCTGCTCTGCTGCCCTCTGGCGATGGACTTCTGAAGAAGCTTCAAAGAAGAAAGGAACCTTTTGGAAGTCACAGGGAAGACACTGGGATTTCTCATCAAGGGCTATCGTGGGACCAGGAGGAAAGGAGGACAGTTTAGGTAGCGTGAGCCTTCCAAGAAGCTACAAAAAGGAAAGGGGAAAATTAGGCAAACACGGGCTTCCAGTTTTGTAACAGAATAAGGTACAGTGAGATGTGGCTGCCTCCACTAGTAGCTCCACTCTGCAAATCTTCACCCAGCCGAGCATTTATTACTGCCATCCTTTTTCCCCCCAAAATAAAGCCTCCCTTTCTGTCCATCAGCGGAACAAAATAACACATGAAAAGGGTCCAGCCAATGCCATGCCTGCATGAGGTCCCTAATAAAAATATTTTTTCCTTTGAAATGATCACAAGATGCCTCTGTGTACCTGGGTCACCCTGGTGTCCTCACCCAAATGCAGGACAAGGAGGACTGCTGAGACTTTTACCAAGAAGAGCAACAAATACCCAGTAGATTCTAGAAGAATCAATAAATTATTAGTAAATTCCACTTAACCCCTTAGCCCACTCCTGTAGGAATGTGTTGCTCCTAAGTCTGTCCCAGGAACAGATGAACATTCCTGTTTTTGGTGTTTTGTTTGTTTTTGAGACTAAATCTTGTTATATAGTTCAGGCTGGCCTTGAATTTACTGTGTGAGCCGGATGGCCTTGAACTCCAGGTGATCCTCCTGCCTCAGCCTCCCTGAGTACTGGGATTACAGACCTGTGCCACATGCTGGGGCAGGCAGGGGACCTTCCAAGCATCCCTCTGAATAGAGGGTTTTAAGATCACTAACTCCTCCACGCTAGCTTTCAAACCCCTGTGGTACTAGAATCATTCTTGGTTGAGTGCTGGCCCAAGATAACTCCAGAATGAGCCTTCAGATGGGAAAATGTCTTTTGGGAGAATGAATGTAAGAGTGGGGGAATACTGTCCTTCAACACCTTCCTTTTATGGCCCTGGGAATAAGACCCAGAATAGGGCCGGATCTCTCGATTTCTTGCCAGGGAGGGAGGATTGCATTTCAAAAGAACCTAAAACAATTAAACCTCAGATCACACCTCCATCTAAGCAATAGGGCAGCCAAAGAATTCTAGACCAGCAGTGGGAGTGGGGAAGGGACAGGAATCTGGGAAGACCGTGGTCCTCTCATGTGGCTTCTTTCGTTTGTTCCCTCCCCCGACTTGGCCCCTCACCCCTTTCAAATGAAAAAGTCAGCGCCAGATCTGGTTCCAGTGGTAATGAAAGCTATCACCACTTTGGCCCAAAATGTCTATCTGTTTTTCAAGGGCTCGAGCAGAAGAGGCAAAAAAAAAAAAAAAATCCTAGACATGCAGAGCTGCAATTTTGGGTTCTTTACCTACAAAAAACTAACAGATTTTGCACTGAGAGACAAAGGGGCCGGGGTAGGTGCGTCTCCCAATGCGCTCTAACTTGACTCAGCTTTCCATCCTCTCCCAGGGTGAGTCACAAGCTGCCTGTCCCGGGGGAAGGTGGAAAGCAGAGGCCACAGGGACTTGGAACTACCTGGTTATTGGTACAGAATCCAGGACGCTGCTGCTTCTTTGAGTACCTCCCTCTCCCTTTTCGCTCACTGCTTCCAAGTCTAAACAGAACCCAGTGAGGCTCCCTTCTGATCTTTCAGTGTGCCAGTCCCAGGGGCCTTAAGTGTAGCAAGAGGAGCGCAGACCCTGTGGCCAAGCCACACTGCAGTGCCTCTTACCTATCTGCATGACTCTGCCGAAGACAGACGTGTTGTTCACGGTGCTGCAGTTCCACCGCCTCTGCCGGAATTGGTGCTGGCACTCTCTGATGCCCGTCTTGGCTCCCTCCGCAATGTAGACCATGTGTTCTTGGTACAGTTGGCACAGCTTTCTCTGGCCAGGGGAGAGCCCAGGCAGCTGACTACACACAGGCTGAGCGCCGATGATAAACATCTCGGGTCTCTGCACTGGGTTCATAGCTAACGACCTGCAACAGCAACACAGGAAGGGGGAAGAGGCCGAGGCGTGAGCGTGCACCTGTGTGCCGCACCGGGTCACTCATTCAGCTACTCGTTGAATGCTTTCTGCGGAGAGGGCCCTGGACTAATGACTAAGGACCCGGAAGGAAAGATTAATAAAACAAAGTGCGTGCCTGAAAGGACACACCGAGGGAAACCAAGGTCTGAATGTAAATGGTACTTGAGATGCCCAAGGCCTGGATCCACTGTGATCAGCCAGGGAAAGATCTTCACAAGACAGCTGGGTTGTGAACTGGCCTTAAAGGATGAGATGCAGGAGAGGAGGAGATGGGGTGGGTGGGGCAACTGGGCATTTGAGGCAGAGGGCAAAAAGAGCCAAATACCCACATGCCTTGCTCAAGGCGTAGGCTGATTAATTCAGTTAAACCCAAGCACAGCTTCCATGGTGCAGAGCAGCAACCAGTTCCCGTAAGTGGAACTCCCCCTACGCCACACGTCACAGCATACTGTGAATGTTTTCACTTCCCATCTCCCTCCAAACATCCCTTGACCACTCACGATCATCACTTCCAGACACCTCCCTGTGCTCACCATCTATCAGACACAGTCATGTGTTAAGTTAGATGAGAAAGCTACAGATTTGCCATCTGACTAAAAAAGTAAACATGGCAAAACCATGAAAAATAGGTGGTGATTATCTGCCATTTCCAGGTGGATCTGGCAATGCCAGTAGCCCTAAGAATGCAGAAAGAGAGCTGTGCAGGGTGCCACACGCCTGTAATCCCAGCTACTTGGAGGCTGAGGCCGGAAGACCTCAAGTTTGAGGCCAGTCTGGGTAACTTAGTGAGAGCCTGTCTCAAAATAACAAAGTAAAGAAGGCTATGGTTATAGCTCTGTGGCAGAACGCCCTGGGCTTGATCCTTAGTAGCACAAAACAAAACCCACAGAAAGAAAGCCAGGCGTGGTCCTGCAAATCCCTCATCTGGTCTTTAGGCTGTTATAACAGGAATTTTATTCTCTCTGCCTCTGTCAGGAAAAGGACAGAAAGAAGGAAGGGAAGAAAGGTGGAAGGGAGGGAGGGAGATGAGTAATTTTTTGTAAGATACTGTCTTGCTATGTTGCCCAGGTTGGAACTCCCAGACTCACATAAACCTCCTGCCTCAGCCTCCTGAGGCGTCCCTTCCTACACCAGTGCCTAGCTTTACAGGGTTATTTTTATTCTTTGGCACAGGGGATCATATCCAGGGCCTCATACATGCTATCAGCATTCCTACTGACCCAGTAACAATAAAAGGCTATCTCTAAGAGTCACAGAAATAGGGAAAGATACAGGAAAAAAGGACTATAGACAGGATCAGAGGGAAAAACCAAATGAATAAATAATTTATCCTCCGGGAACCCTAGCCCCTGAGGACCTGAGAGAACAGAAGATTTCTCCTGGTTCTCCTGGATGGAAAAGGCCTTTCCTGTTCCTACAGATAAAGCTTCGATCCCCCTCTCCGCACCTCCATCACCAAAGGAGCCTCAGGGTGGAAGCAGGACCGCAGCCCCTCGCACTCACCACCAGGAGCTGGCTTCTGTCAGCAGCTGGGCCCAGGTGGACAGCAGAGCCAGAGTGAACACCAACAGCAGGCTGGGCATGGTCGGCCTCAGCCCACCCCAGTGCCCTGGGACTGGCAGCTTCCAAAGTGGGGCTCCCTAGAGAAAAGGAAAGAAGGGAGAGTCAGTGTGCAAATGCAACAGACCCAGGAAGACCAGGGGAGAAGGGAGAGGTGGAGGAAAGTGCAGAGGATGAGCTCTAGGGTGGATCTCAAGTCAAGTTCTCCCCACCAAAGTCTCAGCCCTTTCCCATCTCCACCTCTTTCATTCTTTACTGGCACTCAGGATTGAACCTGGGTCCTTCCCACTGATCTACATTCCCCCACACCTTTCATTTGAAAAAGGGTCTCTAAGTTGCTAAATTGTCCGGGCTGGGCTTCAACTTTGATCCTCCTGCCTCAGCCTTCTAGAGTGCTGGAATTGCAAGTATGTGCCACCTGGCCCAGCTCCAACATCTACCTCTTACCGCTTATATTCTCAACATAAAGCTTTTGGGTCTCTCACCCCAAACTGTGGGAACACTACTCAGAACCTAATTCCAAAGGAAATGAGCTAAGAAATCAGAAAAAAAAGAAAACCAGGAAAAAAACAAAACAAAACAAAATAAAAACCAAAGAAACACAAACAAATCATTGCAAGAACACAGCGTGCTCAATGTGGCATTTAGGAAGCTGCTTTGGCTACTGCAGGGCACACTTGCTATTCTAGAACATCCAGAGAAATGAGGATCATCCTCTACTCTGCATTTTTTACCTCTTACTCCAGCCTACTTACTGGTCTGACCCTCTTTTGTAGGGCTTTAAAAACTGATGAACCAGATTTACCTTCACTAAAACAGAAGTCTTCCACGTCCGCCTGCACCCTTCTCCCTCAGAAAGGGTTTCCCAAATCCCAACCTGATTTACGAAGGAATAACGATAGGGAGACAAATAAGGACTTGTCCCTTTCTAAAGCCAATTTCTCCAAACCTATAAAAGCCATGCAGTGAATTGTGCACCCTGCATCCCAAAAGCTTTGATGGCCAAGGCCTTGCCTTCCTGGGGAGCCCCTTCCCCTCCTCTGCCCTCTGTGGCCTAGAAGGGGCTGCATGGAACACTTTCTGAGGACGCATCTTCCAAAAGCCATGACCTCCCCTGCCACCATAGCTCCTCGCATCTTTGCCTTGTGCTTTTTGTAGCTAATGCCTCCGCCTACATCCCCAAAGTGCACCTTTCCCGGAGCCCTTGGAAACAGGGAGAATCCATGCTTCTGGATCCTAGAAAGAGCGGGTAAAAACACGCCCCCTCCAGTTCACCCCCACCTCTGTTCTCCCTTAGCTTCCCTGTGGGGCGGGACCCCACATCTCCAGAGTCTTTTTCCCAGGGCTCCTTAGCACCTCCAACACTGCACACACACACACACACGCAGCAGGCACGGTGCTCCACGCCGCCCCCACCCCTCCTCACCATGCTGGTCCTGTAGTTCTGGGTGTCCAGGCTCTCCGAGAGGGGGCGGCAGGTGCTTTGCGTCATCAGCCTATGAAATATTTTTGTCCTGGGGCCACCAAGAAAGGAAGGTGACTTGAACAGGATCCAGGAGTGCTGGGACACAATCTTTTCCCCACCCCCTTTAGGTTTTCCTTCTTGAGGTCTCAGCTGGGGCGGGGGACCCACAGGCAGGTGTGTGGGGCCGGCAGGGTGCACATCAAAGAAGAGCCCTGCTCCTTCCCCTTTGTCATGCAGAGCCCGCTTGGAAACGACCCCGCCTCTAGCGGGGCTGACTAACAGTTCCCCACACCCTAGTTTCCCAACAGACCTCTCCCGCCTCCTCTGAATGATGCCCCCTCCCCCTCCCCCTCGGCCCCCCATAAATCCCCACCTCATCCCTCAGGGCTGGAGGTCTGTGAATGCACCGACTGGAACCGACCCGAGAGAGATGGAGCAGAGATAGGACTGGCACCAGAAGCTAATGGCTTTATGGAGGGGAGGGGACCAGGTCCAGAGTAGGGAGGACCAGAGAAAAGCTTCAAAGAGTTCCTTGTCCAAACATCCCCAACTCCACCCACCAGTCCTTCCCTGGGATTATTCCCTCCTGCCTTTCTGACCCTCTTCTTCCCCGCAGCCTCATGAGCATCCCCACCACTGCGTCCCCTACCCCCAACTCGGGGCTCTCCATCCAGCGTCCATCCTCACACATTCCTGCTACCAGATAGCTGTCTCTTCCAACCGGTGACACATCCTACCCGTGAGGTTTCCCTCACACCAGGTCTCTCACCTCTGTCACCCGCTTCCAATAGGTTCCAGTGAGACCTTCCTGGCCCTGCAAATCCTACATTCAACAGAGGCCACGTTAAGGGTGTTCTCTTGCTGAGCCAAGAGCTAGCCAGTGCCTGCTAATAGTCCCTGTGGCTTTAATGGCCCCACTGACAGGCCAGCCAGCTGGACCTCCCAAGAGCTGCAAATCCCACCCATCCGTGCCTTACAAACATACTCGGAGACAGGAATCACTCCAGTCAGCTACTCCCACCACCCTGTGAGTTTTATCAAACTCTCAGCTTGTTACAGACTGTATTTTAGGAAATTACCATAAAGATGGGGCTCTACCACACGTGACTGGCTTTTTGCTCTTCTAAATGTGTGGTACCTGAAGTTGAACACACAAACCCCCAATGCCCTCAGGCCGCACTCTGTCCTGGTGGCAAGACGTGAGCTGCTCCTAGAGTGGTCCCAGAAGTAAAGCTGGGCAGCTGTTTAAGTGTTGATGACTGGTTTCATTAGCATGGGCAGAAGGAAGACTTCCTCCCTGAAGCCAGAGGCTGAGTGGGGACTGATAACTGTGCCTTAATGAGCAGGACACGTGGAGAGTGTGAGGCGCTGTTCACTACTGAGATCTGCAGCAGGACGCAACCTCTTTAAGAAGGGGTTGGTGAACAGCCCCAAAGAAGGGAGGTCCAATTCCTTCTGCTGCCTTTGTCATAAGCATGGATTTCCTCAGAGCTCGCCCCACCTGAGGAGGCACGCTTCATTCCAAACACACCAAACTTAGTACTTGAGGATGTGGGTCTCAGGGCTTTATTCTGGGGGGAGATGAGTCCTGGAAGGTGAACCCAGGGTCTCACACGTACCCTGACATGGAGCTTCAGTCCCAGCCCAAGTCTCCATTCTTTAGTTGTTACTGGGAGGTGGGGGTGGGGGCAAAATTCTCAATCAGGACCCATCCACAGCGCCGGAGGGAGCAGCGCGGGTATCTACTCAGCTCCACTTCTTCATCTGTTTGTTCACTCATTAAGTTCATAAACCAAATAGGCACTGAGCGCTGGTGTAGCCCAGTGATAGGGGCACTTGAATACTATGTACAAGGCCCTGGATTCCACCCCCACTATAGGAGAAAAAAAGAGAAAGACAAGCTGTGATGATCTATGTTCTTTAGAGTCTCTGAGGAAGAGTATTCTCTGAACTCTGCGCTTCTCCAAATCACTGCGCATGTGCGATGTACAGGGTTTCCAACCCTCCTACCGCTCCATGTCCTCTCGGTGGTGTGCCTGAGGGCCCAGAGACCCGCTCTGCCCCCGTTGCTCTGCTCCCATTTTACAGCAGCAACCAAAGGGGTGTATATTTGACAAACAGGCTCTCTTCCTTTTTCTGCCAGCATTCAGTTCCCAGTTTTCATTCCCTTCGGGGGCCACATCCTTCCGGCCCAGAGTGAGGACACAGTCAGAGGGGAGGGGCAGAGCCGTCTCAGGAGGAAATGTATGGCTTAGGAAAAAAGTGGAAAGAAGTTTTCAGTCAGCTTGACCACAGGATCATGTCCTCAGCAAGGGAAGACTCTACTTTGACAGCACAAAACTGTACTTATATGGGATCATTTGGCATGCTGATCTGCTTGTGTTTTCCTTTCTTTCAAAGGCTCTGGAAATGGTCTTGTTCACCATTTTCTTTCCGGTGTTTAGAAGAGTGCCCAATTTAGTGCATGCTAGGTAAATATTTGTTGACTGAAAAAAGAGATAGCCCTCTCTGGGCTCTTAAGGAAATAGGAAGCAGGCTGTGAAGGCCAGACTTTCATGGAGACAGAAAGTCCTTTTGGCTCTCATAGGCCAGCCCACTCACCAGTGAGAAAGTTGCTTCTACTAGTGTATCCCCTTATTTGGGGATCTACTACTAATGGAGATCTTAGCGATTCCAGGTCTCAGCTTTGTCTTTGCCCTTTCCTCAAAGCCGTGAGTAATACGCAGCTTCTAAGAGTAAAGCACTATACTGCTTGATCAGATAATGTAGAGACACTTTAGCAGGGGAAAACCCACTCTGAGAGCCAGGACATAAGATCTGACCAAGCAGTAATTGCAGGCGGGTTGTGGGAAATGAGCAGGGCCTTAAGAATGTGTGGTTTTTACACAGAAAGAAAAGTGCAGGAAAGATTTCATGTGGTGATGCGCCTTGGTTACACAGAGAAACTTTCAAAGTGCTCTAGGAGGGTAGGAGAGATACAGCTACAGTGGAGGGCTTCAACCATTTCCAGCGCTATCAGAATGACTCTTCTTGTTCATGAAATTTACTCCAAAATCTAATACTGAATTCCCATGGCTCATTCAGTAGCAATTACTAGGACAATTCCAATAATGATATGCCTCCATTTTGTGGGGGTAACACTGCAGGAATGGGGTCAAAGATTTAGAGGTTTAGTTGCCCTGGGTACTACCCTTTTGTTAGAGGGGTGATATCAGAACCTCCAAATATGGTATTAGGGAAATATGATAATTCCCAACCTGTTAGATGTCTGATACACCAAGTTTGTGTTCTCTAAGAATTAAAGAATAAATTCTAGGAACAATGGAGAATAAAAGTAGGGAGATATTTACTGAGAGAGATATAGCTCCTTAGAGGCAGGAGGGGGCCCAAATGAGTTGCTGAGCACCCCACTTTACAGGGAAATTATATAGAGCAATAACCACATGGGTACAACGTGGGTTACATCTATGATTAACCAATAAGGATACAAGTATAGTCGCTTAGGTAATAGTGAGCCAATGGGGAAACAAATTCCGTAACAAGGGTTCATGGAAAGAACAAAGACATTTTGTAGGAAATGATGGGTCCAGAGGTCTTGGTCACTCACTGGGTGACTGATGTCTATCTAGGCTTTATTAGACCTGGTGTTTGTCCTTGGAGGAAGTATACAGGCTTGATCATTTTGTCTTTATCTTGAGACCTGGTTTCTAACAGATGTGCCTCCGGCCACAGTTCAGATGAGTTTCACCTTTGTCCTGGCTCTCTCAGCGGCCTGCCCTATTTGACTGCCTATAATATTTCTGCCTAGCTTAGCTGTCTATAAGACTTTGACCATGACTCAACGGTTGAGCGAGTCTTCATAGAGACCCAAGGACAGAAGTGAAGATGCAGACTGATCACGCTCTCTCCTTCCAATCTGGCGTGATCGCTATCCTCCAATTCTCTTCCTAGATTCAACTCGAAAACTTGGTATCTATGTGGACTCTTCTCCTTTCCCTCCATGTCAAATCAATTCTCAGGGCCTCTTGACTATCTTCATAGTCTTTTTTTTGTGGTTGTTTATTTGTTTTTGTGGTACTGAGGGCAGGACCCAGGGCCTCCTGCATGCTAGGCAAGTGCTCTACCACCAACACATATCCTCGCCCTCTGAAGAATTATAAAATTTTATTTCCTATTCTCCATTACAATTGTCATACCCTGGGCTGCCACAAGAGCCTGCTAACTGACCTCTTTTTCTCCATGAAATTCTGTCCTATTCTTATATACTGAATGATGGAATGGATTCCCCCACATCTAGTTCACTCATTTTGAAGTTAACAGCAAACTACTAGGCTTCTCAAAATGTGGTCCCTGGGCCTAACGACATCAGTACTATTTGGAAACCTATTTGAAACACAAATTCTCAAGCTCTACCTACACCAACTGAATTGGAAATCTGGGGATGGTGCGTAGCAATCTGTTTTAACAAACCCTGAAGGTGATTCTGAGGGCCATGAAAATTGAAGAACTATTGCCATGAAGCCACCCACAGTAAAAAGTAATGCAGTCTTTCAAGTAACACATCTGCATTTTAATGGCAAATTTCTACATGTTAATGCCATACACCAATGGTTCCTAACCTGGAAGCTAATGATCTATGAGAGACACAGAATCACACAGACAGCGAAACACTGTGTCCTGAATGAATAAACATGTCCGCCTGTTTCTACTCCAGTAGTCCCACATGGGTCCTTGAAATTATCATTTCTTATTGTTCTTTGCTGGTTTGCTTTGGTTTTTGGAGGCAGGGTCTTGCTATGCAGTTCAGGCTGAACTTGAACTTAGTGTGTAGCCCACGCTGGCCTCAAACTCTCAGTGATCCTCCTGCCTCAGCCTCCTGAGTCCTGGGATTACAGGCGTGTACCACCATGCCTAACTGTTTGGGGTTTTTTTGAGATAGCATCTAGCTATGTAGTTTAGACTGGTCTGGAACTCACTATGTAGCCAGGCTGATCCTTGAAATTATCAAACTATCAATTCATTTACATGTATTATGGATGATTGTGGTGA